AAGAGGAAAGGGAGAAGCATAGAGGATCCCTGTTCTAATAGAAGAATGCTGGATCCCTATCCAGAAGGAAGGTGCTGTGGACAAGAAAGTGAGAAGGATACGAAGGATACTGCTAGAAAACAGTGTTTAGCCTGGAGAAGAGATGGCATTGGGGGACCTGGTAGTAACCTTCCAGTAACTACAAGGAGGCTAAGAAGCTCTTCACAGCAATGCATGTCAGGAGGATGAGAGACAATAAACTGAAACACAGGTTCAAACTGGCTATAAAGAAGAACTTTTTCATCCAGAGGACAGCCAAGCAGTGGAATATGCCCAGGGAGGCTGTGCAGTCTCTCTTCTTGGAGGGTTTCAAGACCCAACTGGATAAAGCCCTGAGCAATTGGGGCCTGATCCCAGTTGACCCTGCCTTGAGAAGAAGGTTGGACTACAGACTTTCTGAGGTCCCTTCCTAACTCAATTACCTTATGATCCTATGCATGCCATTTCATATTGGGAAAGAAATGGTAAAGGGGGAGGGAGACCGAAGATGATCGCTATCCAGGTCACCCACCCAGTTACTAGGAATTCTGAAACCTACCACCTGTCAATTTGTTTTCAGAATGATGCAGTAATGCAACATTTTAAGTACTTTAAACCAACCTGTCTAGAGGAACCACGCTCTATGAGGAAGCTGGGTTTTCGTTTAGCTACCAAAGCAAAGGCAAACCCACCCACCCAGGAAAACTACATTACACCAAAAACCAAACCAAACCTTATGCATTTTAACTTCATTTTCCATTCTGGTTTGGGTTTGACCATGGCATTCTTATTGGAGGTACTGCTCATTTACTTGAATTTCACAGAAAATCTTCTCAGTCTTTTTATACATTCAGAAATCACAGTACCCAAAAAGGTTCATGTATTTTCTTTGGGACAGTTTTTATTTTATTTTTCTTTTTGCTACAGTATTTAAATTACAAGCTTGGGTGATGGTTTCAAATACAATTATTTATTCCTTTTCCTAAAGGAAGCTTAAGTTAAATTTGGTACAAACAGTTACTAGTCCTTTCAGATAGTCTTGGTTTTACATTACAGTACAAAATAGGCAAACGTGTTTTCTTAGGAGGATAACAACCCTTTAAGTTACTGAGTCACACAAGAATCCGGACTTCCAGCCTACTCTGCTTATTTGATAGTTCAAGCTTGCCCTTTACTCTCAAAAACCCTAAACAAGAGTTTCCCTTTTCATTAGACTACTTCCTACTGCTTGTCACCAGGGCTACGCGTTTTCCAAGTATGAAAGGAAAGAGATTGAAAAATTTTAAAACATGGGCTGTGTCTAGATGGTAAACTTCTGCTGACGTATCTGGCTGTGGAATATCTGCTTCCTTACCGACGCTGCTGAGAACCAGCCTGTAGTATAGTGTGGCTACGCCACAGCACAGTGCTTTTCTTGGTGTAGTCTATGCTATTTGGGGTGAGGGTGTTAACTTTTGTCTTCAAAAAGCTTCTTTTGGCAGCTGAATCTACATCATAAGTCTTGCTGGTTTTGCTCTATCGTGAGAATCTTTTCAAAATAATTATGCTCAAAGAATAAACTGGACGGTGGGGGTTTCTAGTAGAGTGCTGCAGGTGATTAAGTGGCCACAACTTCTTTGAAGGTACACTATCGGCCTGAAATACAGTCATATTTTAAGAAATTACTTTTAACTACTGTCAAGTACTGAACCATTCCCTGAATTTTCCTACCAACTACAAATGGTTTTATGCTGGCCTAGTAGGTTTCCCATACTGCCAAGCAGAACAGCCATAAAGACAGTGGCAGGGAAGGAAACAGAATAAATAAAAAACTATACACAAAGGGCTTTAAAATGCACAAAGGGGGGTGGAAACCCCCCACCTTTTTCCTGTGTCTTCTTCCTACTTATAACAATCTTATTTTACCTCAAAATACTCAGACAAGATGAATAACTGTTCAAATCAACTATCTCTTTTAGCTTGGATTTACCTGACCGTAAGATCCTAACCCCTCAGGTGACCCAAGAGGAAGCAATGTCACCAGCAATCTGCAGAGAACAGAGCACATGGGAAGGCCAACACCAGGCCTTCCCACGCACTCTTTGGAGTTCAACGCAAAGCAAATTTTGTTACGTTGCTAGCTGCAAGCTTGATAATGTACTACAGACCATGCAAACTATTTGCACTAACAGAATTGTCACACGAAGCAAGAATTAGTACCATCGGCTTTTTATAAAGGAATGTCAACGGAAATCAGATCCAGATTCAACCCCTTGGTTGCATCCGAGGAGTGAACAGCTCAGATCAGGAGCCGGGCAGCCCGTGCACAAATGCCCATTCCGCTCCCTCACATTCTGAGAGACTTTGCAGGTGAGGTACCTTGGCACAGGCTGGGAGGGCTGGAGAGATGCTCCACGTTACAACACGAGTATAAGGTAGCTGAGTTACACAGAACGCCTGGCTGCTCATTTTTCATCGGGTACGTGTTGGTAAAGTGGTGCCCAACTTCTTCGTGATCTTCTTGCAGGCAGTTCTGCTGACACTACGGTCTTTGCACTGGGAATATCGCACACAGTGGACATACCAGGATTTGGACCACTGATTTTAAATGGAACTGCTTATTAAAAATTGCTTTGACTTTAAATACCTTTACAATTTTAAATAAAATAATTCTTTTAAAATAGTTTTAATTAAATGAGCCTAGAAGTAGAGGATTTTTGATCTCCATATCTGATACAGTTTTGAATAAAGAGTTATATATATACCTCTTGATCTTTCTGGTGATGAAGTGCATAAAAACTTAAAAAGATTTTTTAAGCTGAAATCAACAGTTGTCTCTTTAGGAATAAACTTAATATCCTGAAACACGCAATGCAAAGGTACAGAAACCCAAAATATAGTCTAACTACATAGTCACTATAAATACCTATGTTAACTGAATGCATGCTTTTTAATTACTGTGACTAAATTACCCAAAAATTAAGAATCTCTTTAAATCAAAAACTAAATAAATAAACAAACGCAGACTTCAAATAATAAACTGAACCAGCCAGTAACACTTTAAAACACAAAAGTGTCTTTCCCTTTCTCCTTTAGATTAGCCCAGCATAATAATACTCCGAGGACAACAAACAAAACAACATACCAAACTACCGTTCTCAGGTTTCATTCTGAAAGCAAAAGTTTTCATTAATTTGGGCATTTTAAATTTGCTAGTTTAATATATAGCTGCACATGAGGCTCCCTAAGGTATAAGTAAAATAAGCCTCCACAGTGAAAACAAAAAGAGAAATCATACATGCAATTTATTCTAGAAAATAAACGTGATTTTAACTTTTACTTTAAAAACCCATTGAGTATAACAGTGCATTAGGAACAATCAAGCTCACTAGAGGGACAATTTGCTTGCAATGCCTGAAAGCATGATCATTTAACGTTACAATTCTGAGCAATATCTTGAGGACTTAATTTCATAGTATTTCACAAAATAATATTCTAAACCTGAACACACGGCATCATACAACGTTAGTAAGCAGGGAATCGCAGAGTAGAGTGGAGTGGGCCCCTCCCAAATGCTGTTTCCTGAGGTGTAAAGGAATGGTTTCAGGCTAACCCCTTCAGCAGGGCGAGGCCACCAGGCTCTGTGCAAGAACAGTTGCCACATTTTGCCCAGAGTGTGGCCTGAAGGCCTGTGTATCTAATTCTCCTCTCCACAGTCACGTCAGTGTTTCTCCCATGTACCACACAGGGAGGGCTGAGCACCAAGTGATAGAAATACCCATTTAAAATGACTCTTTGTACCGCTTTAAATTGGTTTGCACAGCTGATAGAAAAAGATTTTACAATACAAGTCTCAGAACCGCAGGGCAAACAGATGCAAATGTGCTTTATCTGCTGGAACGAGTGCCCTGGACTCTTCAACATGCCGGGATCTGCAGCGAGCCTCTGAATCTCTTCTGGTGGATCAGTCCCACTTTAGCTCAGCATTCAGCACTGCGAGAGGCTGCAGCCACACAGTTCAGCGACCCTGTGCACTCATCTGGGATGAATCAGACATGAGCCCTGACTGCAATAAATATTCACAGACAAAGGCAAGGATTATTATTCCTCATTTATGGAGGAGAAACTGAGGCACAAAGTGATTACTACAAGTCAGTGACATAGCTAGACAGAAAACCCAGTTAGCCCCACACCTGCCACCAGATGTTTTAAAATTGGCCAAAGCCACTTTACTATTTAACATGAATAATTTACTAAACATCTTACTTTTGTTTCTGTGTTTAGTGAGACCAGTGACTTCTTTTTTAACCTTCCATTTCTAAAACAGCCCACACAACAGTATGAGCAAAGTTCCAGGAAATTTAGTGAAATCCGCCAGCAGATTTATCCCACTCATGATATTCACCGTAAGCTATAAGCTGCAGGGTCAGTCTGTTAATCACCAAATGAGGGCTCCATGAATGCCGCTGCACTCTTCTCACTCCACCCAAATAATTACATAGCTCACCAGGAGAATTAAAACAGAGAAAAATAGTAAGACTTTGAAGAAAAATAATGTTTCCATAAAACACAGACTTATTGCATGATAGCTGGAGGCAACACCTTTGCACAAACAGCTGTAAATTAAAGCTGTCTTTTTACTAAGCTTCCAGAGATTGCTTACACAACGTGTGGCAATGGGAGAGCACACAGAAGACAGTTATTTTCTTCTTTCTTCTTCACTTACTCAAGTTGTCGAAAAGGTCCTTGTCTAATCTCAAAATGGTGAAGAGAATAGCTTTTTTATTCTCCCATACCACACTGCTACAGCTTACAATGTGAACACTTTGCCACCTGATCGCTAAACTAGAATTTTCTTGATTTCTAAGTAAAAGTGTAAGTACATCATCAAATACACATCACCCGCAGGTGGCAAGGGTTAGAGAACTTGAAATCATAATTTTTTCCTGTCCCCTCCAGTAACCACTGGTGAGCTCTCAATGTGCTGTCTCCACTCATTTCACCTACGAGAAGGCTATCCAGTGTTTAAGTTCCTCCATACGCTGCAATATCTGGGTATAATAGAAATCCATGTTGGCTGCAAAATCAGTACACACAGGGGATGCCGTGTCACCAAAGGTGCAGTACAATGCAGTTCCTCCAATGCTAAGGAAAACAGTTGCTATGCACAGCAGGATCAGCAAAATACAGGAGCCACCAGCTACTTCATCTGTAAATATAAGAGCAGAAAAGGTGAAAAGGGATGATACACAACGCAATATGAACACACGTGAGAAAATCTGAGATACATTTTTACCATGACTGGGTCAGGAGGTAAACACAGTTAGTAATGCTCCCTGTGTCAAAGTGACCGTAATATATACCAGGAACTGTGTGTTTCTCTACCCAGTCTTTTCAGAAACCTAAATGATTACACAGCTTCATTTCTGCAACCTGTGTACCTGACCTTGCTGGTACCACTTGCGGAGTCATTCCACAGTGACGCAAAATACACTTAACTATGAGAATGCTGAACAACCAAAACCTTCCTTCATGGCAATAGCTGACAATGAAGTGAAAGCTTTGAAACCAAAACAAATGGAAACATTCTTGCTTCATTTGTACTGACAGTAACTGTGTTACCATGAACTGCTCCTGTATTCCCTCACGCTTTGACTGTAAGGACAGAGACAAAACCTTCAGGGTAGGCTAATGTGAAGAGTTATTTTACATCTTGGTTATTCTGTGGTAACTCTTTGCATGGTTCTTTATTCCATAGTAAGAGCAATAAAAAGGTTGCAGAGGTGCTGCTACATCCTCACACCTCACTTGTCCTTGGTAACTTGTATGCATGAACAACATCTGCATCTCCTGTCAGACTGAAGAGGCTCTAAGAAAATTTCTGAACTCCCTTCACTCTATATCAGGGAGAAGAAACAGGGGAAAAGAAGGAAAAAAAAAGAAACATTTTTGTATATTTTAAATCAGATTAAAAAAAAAAAAACAAAACCAAACCAAAAAAACTTTCCTTCTGAATCACTAAATTCCTGGGGAAAAAAAATCATTGAAGAAACTCTAATTGAAATTTTATTTAAAACATAAATGATTTTAAAATAATTTCAAGAAAAAGATGGGAGAACCTCCCTTTTGGGCAGTGAATAGATTTTCTTTTCAGCATATAAGACACACTTAACACACTTCTAAGCATTGAAGACCTCCATTTAATACCATTTAGTGGCTGGCACACACAACAGATTTAGAAAGTACTATCATTGGTAACCAAAAGTATTTTTCTTAACGTCTCTTTAGTTTGAATAATAGAGAACTTAAACTCCAAGAAAAGCGTAAAAATAATATGTTGTATTTCTTATGAGGCTATTTAGCCCATCAAAAAGGCAGTAAGGTTTTTAGCCAAATTTAATGACAGCTAGCAAATATATATGGATGTTTAATTATGAAGCAAGGTTAAAATCTGACACCCTCCAAATTCCATGGTCTACTAGAAAGGGTTGGAAAGCTACCTGTGGACAAAGCACAACAGACGTTTTTCTTTTGCATCCCACTTTACTTACATGGATTACATTCAGGGAGAAAGCCTACACCTCCCACCTCTAAGCTCTAAACATTAACGAAAAGACATCTATTAAATGTCACTCGCAAATCATTCAGCCAGAGGAAAAAACCCGTGGCTTCAGTCTCAGTCAAGCTTTAAACCAGAAGTGTACTTACTGTGTTCTGCTGTAGCCTTGTAACCCAAACCTGGTACAGACTAACCTTCGATCAATGACCTTCACTTATTACTTGATGAAGTTTTAAAAAGCCAAGACAGTATGTACAACAAACGCCCACTTCGCTCTTGTAAACAAAAAGATCAACATCATTTGCACCCCAAGAGCACAAGCCATGAATTAACAGCTTTAAATTACCTTGATCCAATGTGTCTTCTATTTCTTGGAATCGCACTCTTCTCTTTGTTTGCCTTTGCTGGACTTGAGCAATTGTTTTTCCTTCCCTGTCATCTCTCTTCTTTAGTATAGACACCAATCCTTCCGCTGGGGCGATCTATCAGGAAAGACAGTGAGTGGACCAAGAGATGTGAGAAATCACACCATGACATCTATTTAACAATGACTTTAGGGATGAAATGAGCTAAACAGCTAAAAAAATGTTTTCCACTCTACTTTTCTTAAACACTGGAGCACTTGTGAAACCTCCTTCTTGAGTACGTTAATTCCTTAACATGCAGGAGAGTTGCAGTATTGTTCTGCTGTCTGCTGACACTACCTGCCCTGAATTGCTATCAATGTTAAATACCCAAACATTTACTCTTTGGATCATACCCTGTATTCACTGCAACTCTTCCTTCGCAAGCTCACGTTATTAAACCGCATAGGTTGAAACAGCGGTGAGGAGGGTTCACATCACAAACACTATCATCAGAGGGCAATAAGAAGTCAATGACACACTGCTGCTGCCTCTCCAAAGATAGAATCCTGCAGACTATCAAACACTTACTGTGAGATTAATTTTCTAGCATCGTAATTAGTTCCCCGGGGTAGACAGCAAGCTACAGTGGGGCCACAAAACCAAAAAGAGAGAACAACAAGGAAAAAGAAAGCTTCAATGGTGTGGAAAGATTCCAGCTCCACATTGCAATAAACTCTCTGGATACAGTGGCAGCTCATAAGTCCTTCCCTACGGGCTGGTCACCCAAACAGCCTGCGCAAACAGCGATATAGTCAGTAAGTTTATAAACCGTAACTTCTCCTTCCTTTGCTACAGCATTTGGCTTAGCTGCAAAAGTATATGCTAAGCCATACTAGGACATTACACCAGCCTGAGCAGTCTGTAATTTCCCAGTTATTAGAGAAATGAAAGTAGGGGAGATATCAGAAGAAAAATGCTTTCCTGAGCAAGCAGTTCCCGGTGTGCTAGAAACAAAGAGATACTAAAATAAGAAGCATATTTAGACTTGTCCTTTTTTAGCTTGAGATTGTCTTTACCTGAAAAAAAGTCTTAAATCATCTCTTCATAAAATCTGAGTAGCACTTTTTAAAACTTATTCTGTAGATCAGCAATAATATCTGTTAAGTTGAAAAGTAATCTGTATACATTTGTGCTACAGATAAGAAAACATACCACATTTGCAACAGAGTTTGGAACTCATTTATGTAGGAGATGACCCCAAATGCCTATAATTTTCACAAAAACTCAAAGTGGAAAAAAAGCAACTTTCCAGGTAACACTGAAGTTGCAGACAACTGACTGCTTAACTGCCCCCGATCTAATCAATTTAGAAGACGTGCATAAAAACTTGCTTGTATTGCAAGTATAAGAGCTGTACAAAACCAGAAAACAAGTGACTTCATAATTTATAATTTATGCCCCTAAACTTGCTTCATGCTACCAGCTTATATAAGGCATCGAGGCATGCTGTAATGGGAGAGATGGCGCACTGAACACAGCGAAACGCAAGCACAACCCCGTCGGCACTGTACCAACTACAGCACTGCGCGTCTGCAACATTTTAACTGGTAGATGGGGCAATTACATTTGCAGGTCTCCAGTCTGGCAGTATTTTATAGCCCTCAACTGGACAAATAACGCTGCCCTGAACAACTCACAGAGTTGGTCACTCTGGGTATATGCCTCCAGTCTAACAATTTTTCGCAAAATCACAACTAAGAGGGTAAAAATGATCTTGGCCACGCTTCTCTCTTTGATATTCACTTTCCCTTTTGATTATCTGCTCAAGAGCTTGAATGAATTTAATGAAACAATGCAAATGAAGTACTTCAAAATTAGTGAAAATGTGGAGGTGGTGGAAAGAAATTCACAGAGTCACAGAATGCTTTGGGTTGGAAGGGACTTTTAGAGGTCATCTAGCCCAACTCCCCCACAGTGAACAGGGACATCTTCAACTAGACCCATACAGCCTGGCCTTGAATGTTAAGGTTCCACCCTCCACTGCCTCTCTGGGCAACCCCTTCCAGTGTTTCACCACCCTCACTGTAAAAAATTTCTTTCTTCTATCCAGTCTAAATCTACTCTCCCTTAGTTTAAAACTATTACGCCTTGAATTCTTTTAAGTCAATATAAGGAGGACCATTATTTGGCCCAAATGAACCACAAATAAGACCCCACAAGTGTCTTATCACAACAGACAAGTGCACTGAGGTGAAGTTTCTTGTGGTAATGTTAAATTAGTCTTGCAGAACTGCCATGAAAATTTATCTGGCCAGCCACAAAATCAACACTTATGCTTCCTTGTTGTGACAAGGAAGGGGGATCATGTAGGACTGCATTAATTTGACTTATTTATTTGGGAGGGTGGAGATGAAATTATGTCTTTTAAAAAGTAGATTATTTAAGCTTCTGTGTATGGCATTGCTTTCATAAAGAGGATCAACGGCTCCAGCACAAAAGCTGGGGCTGTGCTTGGTGGGAAAGTCACCCAGGGCCGGAGGGCGCTTGCAGCACTCTGTCCTCAGATGAGCGTGTGGTGGTCGGTTCCGCAAGCAGCCATTTCAAACTGAGACACTTCATTTTGTCTGTTGGCTCTTGGTAGTTTTTGAATGACTGTGTCACAAGCTCTGTCTCATCCAAGCTTAAAACCATACGGCTATCTTTGACAGGATTATGTGGAAATGTGTGTTTCGGTGATTACAGTTACGTAAAAGGCTTATTTTTAAGAATGTCCCCTTTACATGACATGTAATTCATATCTAGACTATTTCATCTGTCTTTGAATTTCATGAGTCATGTAATTTAGGTTTTTGTTTTGTTCTGCAAAGGACCCACAAAGCTATGCCTCCTAATCAGGAGACAGTTTACTGTTAAAATGGAAATACAAATACAAACATATGGAATTCTGCATAAAGCAATATTTACACCTTTTTTTTCTACCATATCCTCAACTGCAGCTCGAAAATATTTAATGCAAACTTCACTACATTTTATTTTTCTTAATTTCAGTCATTAAAATGTCATTACTGTAAGTCTGTCACGTAAGAATAGGGTCCGATTTGCTACAAATAAAATCTAATTCAATTAAAACAATTGTAAATGTATATTTCTACCATACCTTTCATTTAGAAGGATTTCAAAGCAACATAAAAACTGATTGTATTAGATCCATCTCCCATTAATTAAACATCCAAGGAGAGGGACCTAGCTGCTGTGCAAGACTTTAAGTTTTCCATCCCAGTCTCTAGGAGGCAGGAGGAATTTAAAAAGGCAGAATATATTATTTAAATTGGAAGTTAACGAGGGAACTGTGGTTAATACAGATGACCACAAGTCAAGCCTCTGCTTGACTTGAACCACAGGAGGAAAAATGTAGGCTTGTACCAGGCTGCACCGCAAACAGCTCTGTGTTACATAAAAGAGCTACAAAAAGGATCCTACTTAAACATCGAACATTTTCTTAATTTTACACTAGATAATTAACAAAAGATGCTCTTGGCGCATCCATGTAACTGAGCTTACTCACTCAGTTCTGCTGGTCTTCACAAGATCTTTTGACCGGAGCTTTTATAATTACTGTACAGGAACTGAAAATGGCACTCAGGTATGTGGTGGCATTTTGACCAACAGTCAAAAAGGAAAGCAGCAATGACTGTTGGTTAACTAAAACTCTGGTAAATATATCAGCTTCTCCCTTCTTACTACTATTAATATAAGATGGTTCTGCTTCACAGAAAAGTTTTAAACTTTTCTTGATAAAGTTTAATATCCTAGTGGCAAAATGGTAAAAAAATAAGCTCTAATTAAACTACCTGTCTCTGCTTTGTTTCAAACAGCATTTGCTACTAAAATATTAAAAAACCTTCTTACATTATATGCATATTTTCATCAAATACAATGTATACACATTTAAAAACACATTAGACAAAACTATGAGAATAAGGTCTTGTACTTCAAGCTCTTAGAGAAAACATATTAAACTTGACTATTGGAATCACTTGTAGCATACAGAAGTAAATATAACCCCCAAAACTGGAGGCACTGCAAACTGGGATCTAGGAGGAAAAGTCCACTGTGTGAAGCATTTTGGTCTGAATGCAGAGAACTACTCAAGGATGAGTTTTGTTTGTATATTCTTCTGTGGGCTGTATTCCTTATTCAGTTACTTGGCAGAGGCACACGATTTTATTTCTAGCAGTGCCAGATTTTTTTTTTTAAGCTGAAAAAAGCAAGACTGCCCTGCGTTAAGCTATAAGCAGCAGACAAACCCCATCGCTAACAAATTAGATACATGAATAATTTGACTTTGAGAAGGAGCTAACTTAGCAGATTCAGTATTCATACCACAGCATCAGACTCTAACCATTTTTCTGCTATTATGCTTGCCACGGAAGTACTGGGGCTCCTTACACAGAAATAAATAGCTCGGATACCATGTAAGCATTTCAGACGGAACTGCAATTCTTGCAAACTCAAAACTACAGGCCCCAAGCCATACAAAAGAACAGGGGATCTCAACAAGGCATCATCTCCAGACCCAGTACAGATAGGGGCAGACTTCATTTCTGCAATCAAATCAGCTGCTAGTCAGTACATTTGCAGTACTCTTTAAAAGACTTGGTGTACAAACAGTGCCAACCAAAAGCTACCACCTTAAGTTATGGGAGAGAGTCTCGCTGTCTTTGCTCTCAGAAGGAAATTTACGATGATAATTTTTGACAAGGAAAAACATTAAGCTTTTACTTGTTTCCCTAATCATCACTCAGATAAAAAGTTTTTGTTATAAACTTTTATTTCATATGCCAAAATGCAACTTACATTATTGAGGTTATAACTTGTTTGACTGCTAGTGTGTCATTTCATTCTCACAGAAATGACAGTAAAGAGATCTCAGAAGATCTGTTGCTGCCAACTGCTGACAGTGCTTCAAAGCTCCTTGTTAGCTGTATGAATCTAGTTTTTGTAAAATTTCAGTGATTTCTCATTATCTGCATGTTGTCGTGCACAGTTTGTACTAGTGAAGAAATACCCAGTATAAGGGACTGTACAATATCTAAAGTACTATTTTAATTTTGAAATTATTTAAGGTCAGAGTCAGAATTTAGTGGACTTTCAGCCTTGTTATTAGTTATTGTAAACGGCAGACTAAAAGCAAGTGACATAAAGGATCGAAATTAGAGAACTACATAAGATGATTCTTTGATCTCAATATGGGGTCAAACAAAACATCCTAACTGTAAATAAATACACAAGTACTTACCCTTCCCCATTTTCAATAAATTATTATTACACCTCCATTGAAGAATATTAATGAAATTTTGTCCTACCACCTGGTACCTGTACCTAGATTATTTCAAAATAATCTTGTCTTCTGCCTTCCATTCTAACTTATTTGTTGCAATTTTGTAAATACTTACTCCATGAAAAGTTTTATCACAGTAAAATTGATTTATGCTTTGGGTTTTTTTTTTTTTTTTACTGTCATACTGGTACATCTCATGTACTTAATTTCACTTCATTCATGTGGCCACCAATGCATTTTCTAGATATTTATTTAATTATTGTATGAAAACATTGTCATCTTACTAGATGGCCACAGCCCAAACAATGCAACTTCAAAGGCTTCAGGAGGACAAGAAAGGAAAAAATGTTTTGGTTGGGTGCAAATATTGGTCTGCTTGTCAAAACATCAGTGGAATCTTATTTTAGCACTAAAACAAAATCAGTGAAGGCAAGTTAACAGTGCTGCTTCCTCAGGGATGCTAAACTCTCTCAATTCCTAGCGTCTTCCAGGGAAGCTGTAGGTGCTCACCACTTCTGAAAAACAACCCCTACAGTAATGATAGGTGGTAAGATTAACTGGAAAATCAAAATATAAGTGTATAATAAATATAAGTGTATAGTGAAACAATACAAGCTTCTGTGCTGCATATTACAAATTTTAATCATCCTTTTTCTCTTCTCCCTGATTTAAACCCCCCGCCTCATACACAGCTCAGGCCTCTTGCTAAAAATGACTCAGAAAGACTCCCACCAGTGCCAGCCAACATTATGCCATATATGGCCAGAAAAAGTACTACAGGAAGACTCAAGGTACTTTTTCCTCTCCAGAGACTCAGCTGGCCACCAGAGTACTGGCAGTCCTAGCATCGGGATAGCAAACTAGAAATGAAACTAGATTCCCTGTAAAGCATTATCATCAGTCACTGGGCCAATCAATACAACCATAATTTTCCTAACAGCATCAATATGCTGTTTCCTATCCCATCCTCTAAAACACAAATAGCACCAACAAAGCAATTTAATAGTTGCTATAGGATTAATTTAGGATTTTTCTACATGAAACAGAACACTTCTCTCCTGTAGTTTAAAATGCTGAACTTTCAGTGGGCTCAAAAGAAACCTAACACTAAGGGATGATATTTAAATTATTCTTCCATTATACAAGTATAGGGGCTTAGCACAGACTGTCAACAAAATGCTCTTTCAAAACCATCCTCTAAGTGAACACAAGCCAATGGATTTAGTGCAAAAGTTTGATTATAGGTATGAACATGTATGTGGGTTTCCACATCTGCTTGTTGTCAAGAGCTTATGTACAGCTTTGTGCGCTTGGCCCTCAGGCCTGGTATGTGGTATGCCTCCTGACATCCCACAGAAAGACTGGGTGTTTTAGGGACAGGTCAGGATAAATGATCTTGGATTGGAGATAACAAGCTGTTTAGGTGAGGAGAAAAACCAAAATGCTCTGTCTCCAGCTTTGAAGATTATGCCAAACGTGTAATAGCATCAGCATGGATCCCCAGCATTTAGTTCCCTGCTTGGCTGCTGTCCCTGAGTGATCGTGGGTTCGTGGTCTCTGTGCATTAGCTTCTGGTCTACAGAGCAATACTGTTACTTTATTGCCAAGGGATGCTGTATTGTTAAATGCATTAAAAATAGAGATGAACTAAGAAGATGCCTTTTTACAAGTCTTCCCCCTCCAGCATCTGCAATCACATCATTTCACAATAATCTCATTTTTTCCTTTAATGAAAAAGCTTTTAAGGTCCCATGGTTGCAAATGCACCAAAACCAGAAGATACATAGAGCAAAGATGTCACACACTCTCTGAAAACATCCCAAAGCAATAAATCTTCTATATTTTTAGAAGAGCAATTTAGCTTATGAAGCACTCATTCTTGTTGCCGCCCATCAGCAGTGCTTCAGAAAGGTGAGTTCAGGCTTACAAGTTCTGTCTTAGTTTTGGCTGAACAACAAAATTGCCTAAACTTGGCAAAATTAGAAGTCCATATATTTGTATAGAGAGTTTATTACATAGGTAGTTCTCATCTATACAGAATAGGCACAGAAAAGCAAATTTTATTCTATGAATAGAAACGAGCCACCTGTTACATCATAAGCATTATGTAGATCTCTGATGTGAAACTGTGATTTAACAGGAATTGTCAGCCTATCTCCTAACAGCAGCTGTCAGAAAAAAAAAAAAAAAAGGTGTTCACACTTATACGCAAAAATCAATCTAATTTTTAGAATCACAGATCTGGTCACAAAGGAGGCAAACAGGCAAAAAGAAATTTTCTTCTGAATTAACTCAGAACAATTAGCTAAGTATAGATTTCAGATTTTAATAAGTGATATATGAAGGAATATTTAACACATTATGAAGCTGGCAATATCTAAAATATCTTAACTGAGATAAACATGGAAGAAGATTTTATCAGATTCGCAGTATTTACCTCAGCAATCTCTATCCTTCTTGCAAGTTCATCAAGAGAAGAAAAGCTGTCGTCTAGCGATAAAGCTTCCAGTGAGTTGTAAGATGCTTGTTCAGGTGAAATATCTAGAACAGTGTCAAAGTCGTCTTGGTTTGCTAAGTTTGCAAATGATTCTTCACTGTCTATTATGCTACCATTTAAAAATCTGAGAAATAAATCTTCTCGCTCTTCATTATTTACCTTCTCCTCCTGTCCTCCTGTTCCCTGTATCTCCTGGCATACTCGTGAATGGGCAGTACTCTCATGCTCTGACACTTCTTCACACCCAGAGCATACATTTGATGCAGTTCTGTCCCGCGAAGATTTTTCATCATCATCATCAGGCTGTTTTTGCTGCTGCTTTAAATCACTATTTCCAAGCTGGCCACTAGCAATTTCTGAAGAGCCAGCAGCATGTTTTGATCCCAGCAGATTTCTATCAGCTTGCACATCTTTATCAGTAGGAAACAAATCAGGCAGCATATAATCAGCATCTGCTAAAACCAAAGCATCTACCATTGGCTCAAGAGGGAGTTTCACTCCAGGCTCCCCAGCTGTGCCTTCTATTTTTCCCGCATCCTTAGAGAGCTGTCTTTCTCTCAGCTGCAAACTGTTATCTTTACCGGCATCCCCCGATGACAAACAGCCCGAAGAAGGCCTGCCCACTGTCCCTGTGGACTGGGTGTGTGGCTCCAATGTTGATTCAGCACTGCAGTGCTGCTCCTCCACGTGGTCCTTTCCCGCAGCTACCCAAAGGCTTGCTGCCTCCGCCTGTCTCTCCGTTTTGTTTTCACCTGGAGAACTTGTGCTCAGCTGTTTATCTTCTTTCTTTGGTCCAACGCCAGGATAAGTTTCAGTACCTAGGTGCAACAGGAAAAACAGTTCCAGCGTTTTTAAATGATTCAAAGCATCAGCCCTGGATGCTGTAACCTAATGCTTTAAAATGCACGCCCACAAAGGGCAGTTATTTTATGCTCCAGTCAGAATAAAAGTTTCGTTAGTAGTCTGAAAAACTGACTCCTGATTCAGCAAAGTATTTGCACACATTCTTGCAGGCAAAGCACATGCTTTTATTCCCTCCTTAAAAGAGTTACTCTCATACTTCAAGGACAATACCTAAGTAAGTATCTTTCTGAACAGCCACATTTCTTCTAAAGCACATTTTATGTCAGTGCATCTCATGGAGGCCTGGAGTTCAGACAAATGCACTTAATTACAGAAAACTGTATATTAATGCTAGTGTATCTATCACACAGGGAAATAGCTGCATTTCATTTACAGAAGCTGAAATCAACTAATTTAATAAATTTTAAATTCAATTATTTTAAGTGGGTAAATAGTGCCTTTGGTTAATGCTAAATCAAATACCCAATTACGGTATTTTACATAACACACTGCATAAAAAAATGTTGTTTTTCGGATACATAAGTTAGTTCACATATTAAAAAATGCAACTGGATGCAGCTTATTTCTGTATTCACATTTACAATACAAAAGAAAACTAATTTTTCTTGTCTGAAATTTCAGAGAGAAATAAGGGGAGTTCTACATAGCTCGTGAATTCACCTACTATTGGTGTGACCTGCTGATGAAGGAGCAGACGATTAGCCCAAGTTGTCAATAAAATTACTAGACATTAGGCATTACGAGAAGCTCAAAGACAAATCTCCCCTTTTAGGCTTATGAAAAGAGAAAGGGGGTGTTTAGAATTAGAATACTAAATGAAGCTAGCTATAATAGAAACAGTTTTTATTCAACTATGGAATAAAAGACAAAGCTAAGATTGTGTTACAGTAGGACTGCTGTTACACTAATGGTCATAATCTCAAACAACAAATTAATACCTCTAGAAAACACTCATTTGCATTTTTTCATCATAGCAAAAAGAAAAATGGTCTTACGAATAGATTAATGAAGAGATCAAAGAATGCCCTTATTAACTGTACCCATTCTCACAAAAATGACTGAAGATCTCTATGCTAATCTTATCCTTCCTCACCTGTTAAAAACTCACTGAAAATCTGAGCAATTTCCTGAATTTGCTATACGAAGCAGGGTCCCATTCACTAGTCTTTAAAGAATCATTTGCATTAACTCACTGTATTGAACAATTTTACTAAATTCTAAATTATCGGTAGCATAGAAAAGACAGGCTTGGAAACTGGAAAAGAGAATATCCAACCATATCAAAATGCAGAAAAATAATCAGAACAACATTAACAGACAGAAAGGCTAGGGGGAACCTAACTTCTGTAGAACACTGAAAGAAGAAACGGGTACGAGACAGGGACTTTTTGACAATTAGACGCAGATGAGTAGATAGCTCAAGGGATTTGTAACAGGATACTGAGCCCTTCACATATAGGTCATGAGTTCAAACACAGCCTGGCTTATTGGTACAAGATTTTGTTACCATCTGTCAATTTTTCCTACGGGATACATCCACATTACAATAGACATCTTTGTTGGCAGCCCCAATTGCAACAAAGATTAAATAGAATCGGAAAATAAATCACATTCTGTACCATGAAAGGTGGCCCTTGAGCTCGGGGGTTTGTTCCTAAGAAAGTAATATGTATGGTTATTACAGAATAGGATTCTGCTGGGGTCCTGGCAAACTCAAGCACCAGCCCGCCGCTGATGCATTGACTCAGGGAGGGCCAGCAGTACCTAATTGACCATGCACTGCCTCAACAGATGAAGAGACCTGTCAGGGTGAGAAGTCACGGCTTCCTCAAGAACATGCCCATCTTGTGAAAAAGATCTTTTGTAAATCTTAAGCACTTCAACTTGAGTTAGGCTTGAAATATCCATATCTTTGTATTAGAAAAGTGTTTAGCACTTCTGGAAAATTCTCAGCAGAACCACTTTCTATTGGATGACTAAGCTTTATTAATTTACAAACATTTCACAGGAACCCAAAGATTTTGATCACATCTTGACAAGAGTCCCATTAAGAGAAAGGCATGCAAAAAATCCATTTACAGTACTAATTACTTCCACATCAAGTTTAATATGTCTAGCTGTTGTACTACAGTATTTTAAACATTGACACAAAACATTCCTTAATTGAGAAGTTCAGAACTGAAGTGTTCAGAACTAATGCCTTCCAGAAAGCCTTTGTTCCCACTTGGAATAAAAACAATGGAAAAATTTTAAGTGCCTAATTTTTTTCCATGGGAATTTCCAACTGTCCAAAAATAAAAAGTATTGGGTTCTTTTGATCTGCTTTCTGAGCTGTAGAAGGTGTTTGTTTCATGCTTTCAATGTTTTGTGTTTAGTTAGGTTTCAAGAACAAACAGACAAAAGGCAGAATAGGCGTCATGTTAACAGAGAATGAAGACAAGGAGGATCCATGCATAAAGAGAACTGTGACTCTGTATCTTCGTTAATTCCTGATTCTCCTGAACATCCTAGCTGATACACACTTGTAGGATAGTTTCGGTTGAAAGGGACCTTCTGAGGTCACATAGGCCAAGCCTCATCTTCTGAGAGATTCTAGCTGTTTTTGAGGAGAGATACTTGATTTAGGCCAACTGTGGCAACTGGAATGTGGCAGAAAAAGAAACTTTTTGCTCAAAGAGAGGAGAGAGAAACCACAGCCTGGTAGTCTACCAATGCTCTTTCCCCCTCAATTCATTAATTTGCAAATGTTTCTTCAAGACCCCACAAAAAATTTCTAAGTTTCTGTGCTGTTACAGAAAAATGTGTCTCAAAATCAGTATGTTGCAAGTAATTTAAAATAGTTACTAATACTGTTAGCTATACTGAATTGCTACAACTCAGAATATTTGTCATCAGATTGTTTTCCTTGTATTTTATACATACAAATTATGTATCTTATCTTTAGTTTACACAGTTTTGTAGCTTATGTAGGCTGCTATAAATGCATGTACATTTAAAAGACATTTTTTGATGGTGGCTAGAATTACTTTAATTACAATTCTGAATATCAATGACTAATTAAAATTGCATAGTACGTCCATTGTGCAGTTGTGAAAAAATTGAAATTTGCACAAATGGATGAATCTGTGGGAATCCAACAAATGCTATAGCTTCAAATGAAATAGCTTCAGAGTATTTACAGGAATATGTCATTACAGTACAATATTTAAAACAAACATATACACGTGTACGTAGACACACATACCTGATTTGAAAGGAGCAAATTCTCTTTCCTTTAGATTTTTTGATTCCAATAACTGAAGCAAACAACTGCTTTCCTGTGTATTTTCTGCAGCTACTAGCTGTAAAATATGATAGTATTTCCTGTAATTTTTTGAATTAAACAGGAACACTGTGACTTTTTGAGACATCCAAACTTCAAACAGTTTCTACACTAAACTGGAAAGATTATATCTAATAATATTAGAAATATATTTATTAGCATTCTTTGACAAAGCAGAATCAATTAAATGTCTGCTTACCTTATTTTTGTATGCTTGTGGCCTGGGGCAATAAAGAAAAAAATAAACAACTTAGAAGCAATATTCTTCATAACAAATGTTACTGAAATCTTATAAGCCTTTGCTTTGCTCTAATATTAGCACAGAAGTTTTCTCACGTTGAAACAGTGTCACATGCTAGCATACTTTCAAGTACAGATCTGTACCATATGTGAACATCATCAGAAGACCAATAAGCCCAAACTTTACTCCACCTAATTGAGAAAGCAGTCAACAAGCAATCTAAATTCCCGTAAAACTTAATGCTCAGAAGGAACTCTACAAACTTGAAAATCATGTAAGGACTCAGTATCTACTACTATTAAAAATAATGATCACTATAACAGAGATTGACTTTAGATGATTTGCTGAAAACAGTTCAGATCTAGTCCCTATACATTCATTGACTTTTAAATTTTACCACTTAAACTTCAAATAAGGGACACTCAAAAGTATCTTCAAAGAACAAATATGTCCAGTATGTAGCTGCAGACCTTGAGTATCAGAAAAAGTTACATTATGTTCAATTACAAAAGCAAAATGCTCACATTTTCTGAGACTGGCCTGTTAATCATTAAAAATTAAAGTATAATTTTAATTACAAAATAAAATTAGATTAAAGCTTAGGAAAAATAACATATGAAACAATAAAAGCAAATAGGCTTTTGCCTAGAGAATTTGCAAGAGTAATAATATTAAAGACAGAGAACTAATATCAAATGAATGCAAGCCTTAGTTTTTATCAAACTGCAGGGTTTCTCTGAACCGGGAATGATGTTACATAACTGAAATTTTGTGTTTTGAAGTGAGGCTGCACAGAAGAATCAGAAGGAGAAAGCAGAGTTATTCTAAACAAGGTGCAATCGAGGTGACAATAGGGAGGTGCTGCTGGTTGCAGCAGATCAATTGCAATAGACCTGAATCTGAATCTTTCTGTGGGCTTGCAAGGTCACATGCAAGGAAATGTAGGGTGAGGAACCCTGCAGGCACTCCGAGTGCAATCTCTCGGTAACATCAGCTGTGGGTGTCAACACGCAGCTATTGTGCTGGAGCTGCTGCCCTCCTCCTGTAGACACGCAGGCGTACGCTTTCCAGGGGCTCCCTCACAAATGCATTTGGACTACAAAGAAACAATCCCTGCCCGGGTTCTGGCTGTCGGCCTGGGTGTTTTCAAACTTCTGTATGGTCATCCAGAAGAAAAAAAACCCATGGAAGCCAAATCATACTCTCTCCGAACAACAGGAGCATTTTGGCTTTTGTTACATCCAGACTGACTAAACCAATGCAAATGGATTTGAAAAAGTTCTCTCTCCCCACCTGATGGAGAGCATCTCCCCTGTCACAGGTTGGCCTTTTCTCAGCCTTTGCATGTGGTTAGTCTCCTTATTATTGTTGGCTGATCATTTTGCAGTGGCAGCTGGAATAATTTTTTCCATCTGTCCCTTGAACTCAGTGTGTAGTAGTTAGGACGTTTACCCTTGAAATAACAGATCTTCTCCTTCCTGACTGGTACAATCCCGTACGTGTTACTGCCCAGAAGAGCACCCGAGGCACTGTCCAAAAGTTGGCGATACTGTGATACACTGATTCGGGAGGCTGATGAATCGGGCCAAACAGGTATGAACTAAGATTTCACAACTTCTCAGAATACTGCCACACTAGGCAACTACAGAGTCACTGCTTCCTAATGTTTATGCAACCGGTATGAATCAAAAGAAGGTAACAAGAATGCCTTAAAGCATTAGGAAATGCCCCTAAAATGTGGAAAATTTGGGAATAGCATCCCATAGGGTAGATGTGAGTGCTGGAGTTGGAGATGCTGGGCAATTGCATTTAAAAACAATGATTAAAACAACAGGTATTAGACACAAACACCATCATCCGTTCTACCGTCTCTTTCTTCTTAAGTTAATACAAAGTTTTTACTTTGGCTGAAAATACTAAAACTCAAAACTCCATTTCTGGCAAACTAATGATTTGCTGAAAACAAACAGTTCAGATCTAGCCCCTATACCTTCCTCAAACGATATTAAAACATTGTGAAAATTAATGGTAATGGAAGCATTTTAGTTAGGTATCAAAAAGAACCACCACTTTATAACCAAATTCACTGAAGTCAATGGGATGCAACTTTTATTTTGACATTGACTATTTTAAAACACCTATGCTGGCAAGTAGACAATAGCTGTGCTAACATATTAATACTGGAAAAGTAATAATATTTTCTTATACTTACTGTTGATGCGAAGAGCAAACTCTAGTAAGCTTTTCCAGCTCTTCACCACTCAGTTCTTTAGCTGAATTCCTCAGTGTTGTAACTGGACTAGGAACTGCTGTTTTCCATTTTCTTTCTAAATTAAATCAAAATCAGTTTTACCCAAAGTATTGTAAAAGTAATATTTATTAAACATAAAACATTTATCTGAAACTAATTAATGGAGAAATATTGACAACTCTTCTGTGTACGCTTGTCCTGGTTTTGTTTAAAACAGAACCGATCCTCTTTTTGTGAATCTTCCTTACAGCTAAGTTCTTCTAAGTCACTGCATTTTTCTGAAGCTGGATGCATATTTTACAGACACTGTCCACTCCAAAGCTGGTAACACCTCATGTTTATAGTTTTACTAAGCTAGCAGTAGGAATGGAATGCAGAAAAAGGCCCCTGTTTATAATTATTACTATGGCAGCAATGGTCACTGACAGGCTTCTTAGGTTCTGCAAGAGAGGAATCATAAAGGGTCACACTTGTGGGGAGGACAGGACAGGTGACCCGATGTTGACCAACACGGTATTCCATGCTGTGCACGTTATACTCAGTTTAAAGCTGGGCGGCTGCCCGCCAGCTGCCGGCGGGATGCCGGCGCCCGGCACTCAGCTCTGGGAAACTCAGGGTTGGTTTGGTATATGTTCCTTATTTCTCTTATTACTAGTGCTATTATTAAAGCTGTTTTAATATTCAATTTGTAAATCTCTCTCCCTTTTCCTCCTCCTTCCCTTCCCGTGGTGGGGAGGGCAGGGTTAACAGACAGCATCTGCTACTGGTTATTGCCACCCTGCTCTAAACCGTGACAATGCTCTACAACCTTGTTTCAGACTAGGCAAAAAAAGCATTTTTTTTTTCACAACACACTTTATTTTCATCACATTGGATTCACCAACTGTAAAGTAAAAAGAAAAGCTCAAACCAACTGTCGATCAATCAAGAAGTCTCACTTAATAAAATGAAGAATGACAAACTATTTGCACCTTTCCCACGAAATGTGTGAGAAGAAATCTAAAGCAGGAATACTTTTCTCAGAACAAGCTCGACAAATTCTGATGTAAATGCTGCTTTTGCTACGTAACATTTTTAAACTGGCAAAATGTATACTCTGTTATTTAGAAACATAAACCAAATGAACTATTTCTTCTACCATACTAGTTTAGCCTGTACTCACCCCACTGCTCCTGTATTGAGGAAAGATTTGCAAGCAGCTGCTCATGATACAATCGTTCAAGCTGAATGAACTTCATTGCCTTCTCATCTGAATGGAAGGTTAAAGAAAAATGCACACATATATAAACATGTTACGATTTGTTTGTATTTGGCACTGTATTTGAAAGGGCAATCATTATGTATCTGAAATTTGACATAACTGAATTAAAATGAGTAACAACTAGCATCCAGACTTCTGTGCAAGGAAGAAAATAATAGCAGACATGAAAACAGCAAGAAGTAAAATAAGTTGAGAAAAGTTCCAGCAATGAAAATCCTATTCTCTTCAGCAGTTACCTCTTCCCACATGCCTTAAGTCCAACAAAAATTTTTCTAGAAAAGAAATGAGCAAAACATGCTGACAACTCTTACCAGAAAATGAAATCTCTGGGAAATGAAATGTAAAACAGTTACGAAAATACCAGCATGTATCTCTCAAGAAATACCATTATACGCCAATAACCATATCTAACTGAAAATATGGCTCCGTTCTATTGATCAGCTGGAGACGGTATTTAAAAAATTTCCCCAGCTCACACTTTCCAAAAATACTCTCCCCTTTTTCGACCACCGTACACATCACTGTGGGACAGCTGAGTTCACCTGTTGTCTTCTTTCTGAAGATTCTGCTTACTTTTCTTCTATATGAAGAACTCCCTCCCCTTCCTTAGGTTTATCCATATATTCAAAAAGGTATACCAATAGTTATATATTTTGTAATAGTCAGGATAATTCTAGTTCTATCAAGCCCGAGTTGTTAGTTGTTCTGTTTAAAGCCATACTTTGCCTGCAATTTCAAATTTAATTCTACAGTATAATGAGGACATAAGTACAGTGAATGAGGTTCTTCATAATATAGAAAAAATATTTTCCATTATTCATGCTACTTGAAATACTGTAGTAATTAGAACAAAACCACAACCAATACTTGTTATTCTTGTTAGCCTCATGCAACATATACATAGGATGGCTTAAGAACATCAATATTAATAGAAAGAATATTCCCTGCCTTCAAGAAATCTGTCATTAGAAACAAAATTACAGATCAGAGAGATAGCCTTAGAGGATCACAGCAACAAACCTTGAATTATTGTTAATATGAAGTTCTTCACTGGATGTATTAAAAAGCCTGTCATGAATAATTAATACAGTGCAACATGATCAAGTAAGTTCTTTATTAACCTCAGGATGGTTGCAAGTACAGAGGAGATATCCTTCATAAATATGTATTATATAGTGGTGTTGAATTACACACATCAGGTGTACATCGCATTAAAAATATTTCTTTTGATCAGCTTTAAATACAGTGCCCTTTGATTAAAGCAACTTCCATGAAAGAGAAAATGTCTATCATACCGTTGAATGCATTTTCAATTTTCTGTATTTCCCCCTGCAGAGCCATAATATACTACTGAGTTTTTCCATACCTTTAATTTGTGCTGTGTATTTTAGATTTTCTGATGGATGCTTTTGAATCAGGATGACCAAGACAGAAGTAGTCTTCTAAGACACTGATGGATATTTTATTTTATAATACTGCGACAGTTATGCATCTGGTTTTGTAATACAAGTTAATATAATTTGGCTAAGTTTCACGCATACCTTTCCAGGTTTCTCATGCTTTGTTATTTAACCATTACAATTGTCTATTTGCTGTATTTTGTTTTGTTTGTAACAGATTACATAATAAAGAAATAACCTGTATGCATAGATTCTGTAATTTATGATACATCTTTGTGAATAACATATACCTTTAAGGGCTTATCATTCTTGCCTCTTCTTTTTACAGTCTGATCCCTTAAAAGCAAGCAGTAAAACCCAGTCCCCCTTTTCTAAAAATATTATTTCACTTTAAGTTTTAATATGATTATTCTCTCCCACAACTACTGAAATATATCAAAGTAATTAGCAGCAGCTCAACTATTACAACTTTTTGACCAAATTTATGTGTATTCTCTAGGACCAAATCAAAATAAACTGACTATTGAACTAGATGTTCCCAGAACCAATCACCTATATTCTCCTACAACAGTTTCTCAAACTACCTTGATACAATTTTGAGTAATTAGCATTTGCCAAACAACATGTTGCTATTGTTTGCAGGTTGCTGATCTCCCTTAGCTCAGTGTGTTTGGTATTTTTATTCTAATCTAGACACTTGTAGCACATATTCTAATCAACTGTTGTGATAATGTTTTTGCTGTAACAGCGCCCTGTTTGATATAACAGAATACACACCCTATCTAGATTGGACCTATTCCCAGTTACTAATACTTAGAACAGAACTTATCCTATAAAAACAGAAGTTCTTTGAAAATAATTTCATACTTCCTTGTTTGTGCACAACTACTAATGATTGTATCAGTACAGCTTTTGGAAGTGGATTCATTACTTAACTCTTATTCCAGCTGTCTGCTTCAGAAGGACTTGCTAACACTGTACATTCACTCGTGGGTAAATTACGGCTGTTCACTTCTTTCTAAACCTGACCCACAAGCTTTGAGTCAACAGTAAAGCATTTGTCTTCAATGTTTTATCATGTCAGATTATTTTAATATCGTGTAACAATTTTTACAAGTAAAAGGATACATTCTTCCTCTTGAAAATAGGTCTCAGCTATCTGCAAAAGTAAAAAGAAAAGAAAAATTAGGATTCTATAATTTTCATGAGAGTGGTAAGGATATAATATGAACTTTTAATCATAGTTTTAAACATCTGTTTTGCAGGTTCATATTTAGTTTGGGTAAAAGATGAATGTTCAGACTAAATACATGTATTCTTATTCTAGGAAAGGTGTTTAAAAAGAATATCAAAAAAGAAAGCAATATTAAGTCCTCTCACACAAATGGATTTGCCCAAATATTATTTGGGTTTTATCTTGTTACAACATCAAAGAATTATTTCAGAAACTTTTTTAATGATCATATTAGAAAGTTTTTAAATGACCTAGAAGTACTGCGTTTACTGATATGAGTTGAAGAGTTTGAATTCTGTTACTGACCATTGTTTCCTTACGTTTGACCAAAGTAAGATCATTGCTGAGCTCTCCTAAGCATTACAGTGCAATTTGATAAAATGGAGAAATGGCTGTTTCCTGACTCATGAGGAAAGAACAATCTTTGGATAAAAGACACTAAAAATACCACCTATCACAGCATCACAGACATACCAACATCCTTCCTGTTTCCATCCTATTTACAATAAGCAATTACAATAAATAATTACAACAAATATTTCAAATACATAGAATTTGAAATATCTACAACACGAATATTTGAAATTCATGAGGTAAACATAAAAGGACCCAAGTTATTAATTTTTTTCAGTATTACTCCTAGTCTACCTGCAGAAGTCAGACAATACCACTGCAGCAGCCTTCTGCCACTTCCTTTCCTGAAGCTGCTCTGCTGTGTTAAAAAGATTTAAAGATCCTCTACCTCATGTGTCAGTTCACTAAGCCTAACATCTCGACATCTGAAGCTCTTCAATAACAGAGCAAATCATGGAGTTAAGCCGGATGGCAGTTCTTTGATTTGCACTGTAGTTGTTACGACATGGAACAAATCTGTGGCTCTTCCTCCTTAGCCTGATATTTCTATAACAGAACAATTAAAACTGGATTTGTAACAAGACAGTTCTGCCAAAGATGACAATTGGAAAAAAATCCTAAAAATCACAAAATTCTTTAAGACTTGTTCTCTTAGATGAATGTTGAATACAGATCTGTCAAAACAAAGAAATACCGGGGAGCTGACACAAGAAATAAGCAAAGTCTCCCTGTTACTTTTAGAGCTCAAAGTGCTAAGAAGGCTTAATACAAAGAACAAATATCATTCCAAAGCTGTCACTGAGGACCAGGAAAATCAAACATATGACAGACTGCATATAAAATACTTGAAGAACTACGCCATCTCCAGCACTTCTAGCTTAACAAAATGTGTAAACTGATGTTAAATGCTGCTGTAACAGCTGCTGTCTTAGCCAATGGTTAGGAATTGAACAAGGCATCTCTATGCCTAAACATTCAAGATATTTAGCTGCAATATCTTAAAGCACAACTTCACCCTGGCTGGGTAATTTTGTAACGCCTATCTTTAACAGAGCTCTGCAAAACGGAACAGTAAATAGATGCTCACCAAGGGTTTATATACTGAGAAGCTGTGTATAAACCAAGAACACAGGCACGCAAACAGAAGATAAAATTATGTTCCTGTATATCAAGTTATTGCTATATCAAAGCTACATATTTTAATTGCAGACTACTGAAATAGATTTACTGTCCTCTTCCTAGTGATGCTTTGCTTTCAACCAGCTATTTCAAAGCCAAAATTACAAGAATGGAAGTGGCAGGACTTCCAGAAGAAAAGTTTAGATGCCAGTTAGAAAGAATACTTTTTCTGTTCATCAAGTAAAGGTATCAGTTTTCCGGTTTGTTTCCCCTCCCCCTAACTGGCATAAAGCATTAATCCTTGGACTGAAAGGGAAAAGGCATCATTGTACTAGAGTCCATGCAACCAGCTCAGAGAAAGCAAGTATCCAAAGACAGTCAGAAAATGAGCATATTTCTAATCAGAACTTTGCTTTGACTGAGTTGCTGGTGGGGAGTATTATGGAAAAGACAGAGCTGATACCTAGAAAGGAGAAGGTGTAACCCTGTATAGAAAAGATAACGTCGTAACCAAAACATTTTTCTTCCAGTTCCTCCCTGTAGAGCACAAAATCATAAAATGGTTTGGGTTGGAAGGGACCTTAAAGATCATCTAGTTCCAACCCCCCTGCCATGGGCAGGGACACCTTCCACCAGACCAGGTTGCTCAAAGCCCCGTCCAGCCAGCCTTGAACACTCCCAGGGAGGGGGCAGCCACAGCTTCTCTGGGCAACCTGTGCCAGGGCCTCACCACCCTCAGAGTAAAGAATTTCTTTCTTACATCTAATCTAAACCTACCCTCTTTCAGCTTGAAGCCATTACCCCTTGTCCTATCACTCCAGGCCCTCGTAAAAAGTCCCTCTGCAGCTTTCTTGTAGGCCCCTTCAGGTACTGGAAGGCTGCTGTAAGGTCTCCCCGCAGCCTTCTCTTCTCCAGGCTGAACAGCCCCAACTCACTCGGCCTTTCCTCACAGCAGAGGTGTTCCAGCCCTTGGATCATTTTTGTGGCCTCCTCTGGCCCCACTCCAACAGGTCCATACCTTTCCTGTGCAGAGGGCTCCAGAGCTGGACACAGGACTCCAGGTGGGGTCTCACCAGAGCAGAGCAGAGGGGCAGAATCTCCTCCTTCGACCTGCTGGCCACGCTGCTGGGGATGCAGCCCAGGGTACGGTTGGCCTTCTGGGCTGCGAGCGTACACTGCCAGGTCACGTTGAGTTTCTCACCAACCAGCACCCCCAAGTCCTTCTCCTTGGGGCTGCTCTCAATCCATTCTCCACCCAGCCTGTATTTGTGCTTGGGATTGCCCCGACCCATGTGCAGGACCTTGCACTTGGTCTTCATGAGGGTCACACAGGTCCACCTCTCAAGCCTGTCAAGGTCCCTCTAATTGCACCCCTTTCCTCCAGTGTGTCAGTCACACCACGCAGCTTGTGTCATTGGCAAACTTGCTGAGGGTGCACTCGATCCCACTGTCCATGTTGCCAACAAAGATGTTAAACAACACTGGTCCCAGTACTGACCTCTGCGGAACTGGTCTCCACTTGGACATCGAGCTGTTGACCACAACTCTGTGAGTGTGACCATCCAGCCAACTCCTTATCAACCAAGTGGTCCATCCATCAAACTCATGTCTGTCCAATTTAGAGACAAGGATGTTGTGCAGGACAATGTCAAATGCTTTGCTCAACTCCAGGTAAATAATCTTTGAGATTTGAAACAACAACAACTTATTTGTGCTTGCTAGAAAACTAGGCAGGCTTTCCCAGAAAGCTGAGGAATACTGATGGCTTTGTTTGCAAATTGAATAAAATACAAAAAACTTAAACCTCAGAAGTAAAACTATTTTGTTCCACAGAACTCTAGTGTCAGTGACCTTTACAAGCATTAACTAATCAATCTTCAGGGACAGGGAATGTTGGCAGTCTACTTGCCATACATGGTGTGGCAAGGGCCACAGTAATTGCAGGTACCCTGACACCTGAACGTTCAGGTTGAGACACGTCATAGCTGATAGTCCGGTGCCTTCTGTGGGAACACACAAGCATTCAGTCTCAAGAATCTTTGGGGCATATCAGTTTACCCACTCAAAATTTGCAGGGCTTAACAAGTGGGCACTTTTGTAAAAGTCTAAAGATGATTGCTCAAATAAGACAGCAACTGGATAGAGGAGTATAGATTACGAGTTGCACATTCCTGGCTGTTAGCCTCTTTACTAATCACTAGACCATTCTGAGCCCAGTACCTCCAAAAGAGAATTGGTAAGTGACTTCCAGGGGTCTTTCTTTGCACATAAAAAATGGCCACCTGCCCAGGTGGCCAAAAAGGCCAAGGGCATCCTGGCTTCTATCAGGAAGTGTGGCCAGCAGGAGTAGGGAGGTGATCGTGCCCCTGTACCCGGCACTGGTGAGGCCGCACCTGGAGTACTGTGCTCAGTTTTGGGCTCCTCACTACAAGAAGGACATTGAGGTGCTGGAGCGTGTCCAGAGAAGGGCAATGAGGCTGGTGAGGCGTCTAGAGAACAAGTCTTACGACGAGTGGCTGAGGGAGCTGGGGCTGTTTAGTCTGGAAAAGAGGAGGCTGAAGGGGACCTTATCCCTCTCTACAAGTACCTGAAAGGAGGTTGTAGTGAGGTGGGTGTTGGTCTCTTCTCCCAAATAACTAGCAATAGGATAAGAGGAAATGGCCGCAAGCTGCATCAGGGGAGCTTTAGATTGGATATTAGAAAAAAATTCTTTACTGAAAGAGTGGTCAGGCATTGGAACAGGCTGCCCAGGGAAGCGGTGGAGTCCCCATCTCTGAAGGTGTTTAAAAAACATGTAGATGTGGCACTTCGGGATATGGTTTAGTAGGCATGGTGGTGTTGGGTTGACAGTTGGACTTGATGATCTTAGAGGTCTTTTCCAACCTATGATTCTATGATTGTCTGCTATCCACAGCAGTCTCCTAAGGATTTCTGGAGCTGCCAAAGCTCTGTATCTATGTTTTATATAAAAGTACTTAGATTCTGTAACAAATGCTAAACAAATCACATGAATTCCATTTAAGAGAGCAAAAAAATTACACACTATCTTAATTAACAGTTAACCCTTAGACAGCCCCTAATATCACACAGCTTTTAAATATTTAATACAGGCTTCCCACTAACAACACAGATTGTTAATACTCCAGAATATCTGACACAGCTCTTTATTTTACATTGAATTTTGTCATACAGAATAAAAAGACAATGTCACAGAAGAGTATTTGCTAGACTTGGCATAAAAAAACATCACTGGCAGGCTGTATTAGCAATCTGAAAAGAAGACTGAAGATGACAGGTTAAATTGCTGGAAAAGGAAAAAAAAAATCTTAATAGACTCACTTCACATAAAAACAGGAATGCTATCTTTAAAATTCTTTATTTTTTCTACAGATTAAAAAGTGTGTTACAATCCTTGTAAGCTCTGTTAGTTTTCTTTCAAACACTCCATTCAAAATGCTTGATATTTCTTAGGGAAAAAAAAGATGGTGTTTGATTGCATGTTTGAATCTGGAAATGCAGATTCTACTCTCAGTTCTGTCACAGTTCATGTATGACTTTCAAAAGGTTGTTACCCTTAGGGTTTGGCTTCCTTATCTAAAAATCAGCAAACAGATTTCACCTCTGTCACGTCTAGCAACACTCCTTAATGTTTGTAAAGCGTTCTGAAGCTTCTGCCCTATCTGTGTTTTCCAAAACAGACCTTTGTACTGACTCATGAACAACCACCAAATTTGGCGTGGCTAAAAGTACAAATGGTTAACACTAATGCTAAGTTTCAAATCAATTAAGGAATGATATAAAATATCTTCACTCAAACACAGATTAAAAAAATAATTTAAAATTCTATGTTGAATGTACATTATCTATAATCTGCAATACTAAAGAGAAACCTCTTTCTCAAATATAATTGCTTATTTATATTCAAAGAGAGTAACAATGCAGGAGTGTCATCACAATTCAGAAGTTTAAAATTTCACAATCATCCAGTTTTCCACAATAAAGATAATGCAACTAAGTCAAATCAGGCACCGTATAGCACCTATATATATAGCCCATATGAGACACTACAGCCAAACAAAAACATTTCTAGTCCACTTCTAGCCTGACACAACTAAACTATAAATCAATACTGTGTCAAGTCCTATCAACATATTCATCTTGCATCATAATCTGCAGAAAGAAAAACATACTGGCCAGGTAGCGAAAAAGATTGCTTTTCAAAGGACACAGTATTTCCTTTGGTCTTGCAAGCGTGACATATACTAAAAAACCTTGAATCTTAGCATTCATGCATGAAATTCATGCTAAAAAGAAGCCTGCAATAGTAAAAATAATTCCAGGTTTAAAATGTTATTTAGACATCAGCTGTCTTGTATCTATACTAGTCTTACAAACCATATTTAAGGTATGATGAAGAGTGATTTTCCTAAATCTTCCCGCTAAACTAGAATTTCATCATCTGGAGAATTAGAAAACCCAACCTTAAGAGTTTCCTTGAACTGCAGAAAATACTTGCAAGGCAATTTACAATTTAATGTGTATTAGAAGAGGATATATTTGCCTTGACCTCATTTTGTATATCAAAATACTCTGTCCAGATATGAATATTGGCATATGTTGAATTAATGCATTTTTCCTAATGAAGAAAGATCTCAAATAAATACAAAATTGTGTACAACACCCCAGAATCATAGGAAATACCTGATGGAGACACAGAGGCAGTATCTTTGAATCCACCTGCTCAACCTCTCCACGGAGCAAAGAGAAAAGAGTCTGCAATGTTTGCTTTTGTTCTTTTTGGTGAAAGTTTTCATTTTCTTCAACAGCACCTTCAGCATGCACAGAATCTGTATCTGTAATAAGAGTATTTTCCTCCTTGACTGCTGTGGTTCCAACCGTAGGAACTCCTTTAAAAAGAACAAGTACTTAGGTTAGGATTCAAAAAAATCCTTGTTTATTCTGGAAATTTCAATGCAAGAGCTATGAATAAAAACCTAGTATCTTAAGTAACATCCCTGCAAGTAAATAAAATACTGGTCTTGTCAAAATTACTTGTGATAGTCTGTCTTGGTGTCAGCTCACCTGCCTGAAAAAAAGCATACATCAGGTATTTCTGTACACTTCTAACTAGGATCTGACTTTGGGCAAAAAACCCCCACCTAGTCTAAACTCTACAGAGTTATTAATAAGAGACCAGGATGACCTAAAATAAAAAGTGTTGTGATTGGTGTTGCAGTTTCAACTAAAAAAATCAATACTTGGATCCAAGTGGACCAAACTTCTATTTTAAGACCAAATTGTAATACAGCAGAGACGGAAAGCAGGGTTGTTTGCAGCATGGTTTTGCTCAAAAAGGGCAAAAAGAAGGTAGGTGAGGAGAGTGTGAATGAGATTCTCAGGCTGTCTCTTCACTGGTGCTGAGGACCTTGTACAGGGAGAAGTCCTGGGGGAGGGGAGGCAGGGAGGACAATTTGACCTGTTCTTCAGCTGGTAACACAGTGGCTCCTCACAGTGACAAGAGAATCCTAAAGGACAGAAAGAAGCAGATGTCCAGGAGGACTGTCCTGATGAGTGAAAAGGAAGACCCCCACTATGTAGCTGGATAGTTCATTTGAGAGTTCAGGGAACGAGCCAGTAGTGGTGATCTACGTTGGCAACAATGACACACGGAAGCGTAAACTGAAATTAGCCTCCAGAACTTCCTGCTAGGCAGAAAACTAGGTTCTCCACAGTACATTCCCTGCCAGTCCCCTGTTGTTGTCTTTCTCCAATTTTATAGAAGTCAAAAGAGTCAGACATGCAGGTGGAGGACTGGCAACATATATGAAGGATAATGTAAAGCATAAGAGTATAAAAATATTACAGGAAAAACTTTATGGGTGCAAATCCTACATTTTATTTTTAGAAATTCTACATCTGTAGTATATTGATGATCATGAATATGCTAGTTACCAGGAAATGTTAAATGAGATTAGGGAAGAAGTGTAGAGCAAGCAGTAGCAGTGGGAGAAATCAACTACCCATATACAGCCTGGACCAGTTTCTCACAAAGATCAGAGAATGAAAGCAATCAGTGATGGCTTCCTATAACACACAGTCTTAGAAGTAACCAGAAAACTACAGCTTATTCCACCAATTAAGGAACTTTTTTTTTTCATAGTACAACACTGAATTTGATACATTTACACTGGACTGAACTTTTAAAAAAATAATCACATATTGTTTTAAAACAACTTAGAGAATTTGGCCACTGAAATAAGTACAATAAACTTTTATAAACTCAAGTTATGATGAGTATGTTATTCTTCCCCAGCTACACCCGTTTTCTGAAAATCATGTTATTATTTAACAGCAGGACAGGTGGGGGCACTATTTCAAGGAACCATCTCGCTTTCACTGTTGCTACAGCTTGGGCACTCAGAGTATTTCAGACCCCTTGGGCTCATCGTAACTGAAACCCTACAGTCATGATTCAGGTTTAAGATTTAGGGCTTAAAAAAGCCATTTGCTTGCCCATTGAAGGCTCCACTGTTCTATTTTTTGTTATTTTAAACTCTTTATTAAGTAAATTATCCAGGTCAGGAGTACTAATAATCTCTGTGGGTGGCTACTTTCACAGGGCTTACTGCCATACAAAATACGGGTGTAACTTAACATTGCTTTTTCAATATTAAAGCATGTCTCTGCTTTTCCAGTATTTAGTTGGGCTTGTTGTGGGCCAAAAGCTACAGCAGACATAACCGGGTGCAAGATACAAACCAGAAAGTACTCTTAGAGGTGGAATTAAGGCTGTCTTTAAAAATACGGCCTTCTGTTCAGCACATGATCATGAAATCAGAAAAGAAGGCCCACATGTTCTGGCTAACCTTTTCTTTCAGAGAAGAAACCCGGTTAATAATCACCTGTCACATCAAAACATTAACGTCGACTGAAACATGCTCAATAGCAACTATCATGAAAAACCTGCATTTTAATGTTATTGTGGTAGTTGCTAACACCTAGCTTATAAACTGAATATTATTCCTACGTGTAGTTGAGCTGTCACTCACTTGGAATCAAATTCTGCCCTCATATTACTCCCCAGATTCTGAAGCAAGGCCTTACAGCCATTCAGGTGAATTCCACCTTGTTCTATTTTAAACACAAGACAGCATGTGTGCCCTAGCAGCACTATAACCAAGAACTTCTCTTGAGGCAGTAACTATTTACGTAACATATTAACTTATTAAGTTATAACTATTTACTTATTAACTAAATTACTAACACTCAGTAATGACGTTTCATCATAAAGGTGTTATGGGCTAAGATCCCTGTTTGGTTTTTTTTCTTCATATTCTCAAAAAGGGCATACAACACTGCTTTTTCCTGGAATCAATCAATCTTACTGTCCAAAGCAGGTATTTTTATTTTTTTTTTATTAAAGACTGGTATTTTACGTATATTTCTGATATTTTAAGAAGCAAGGATTAAGATTTTTCACTTTGCAAAGCATTGATATTTACTCCATACATTGATATTCAGTTTCATATTTGAATGGAACTAAAGCCTTTATGAAAATAAATGTGAAAACACACAGAAGATATCAACTCCTCAATGGCTAGAGCACTCACTGGGAACGCGGCAGAGAACAGGGTTTGTGTTTCTCCTCTGCCAGACTCACAGAGGTTTCAACTGACATCATCTATGCCCAGCTGGGTGTGCCAATTTTCCTAAGACATTGGGAGAATCAAGCTTTCTCAAGATTTCCCTAAGAGTTCACAGAAGCAGCCCCATGTTTGCAAAAAGATCCAATTTTGACAGACCTTGCGAATACAAATAACAAACACATTTTTCAGTATGTCTCAGCTTTTTTGTTTTGTCAGTACTGCAAGTAAATGAAATTAAGATGTTCCTGTCGCCTGCCTGAGAATGAGTCAGAGATGCGAGTATGAAGCATTTGCTATCAAAATAAAATAGTAGATGTTGTCCTCTGTTTTTTAACAGAATTCTAATTTTCACATTCAGTAGCATTAGTTTAAGTTACCAGTAACAGAAGTTTCTAGTACAGAAAACATATGTCAATCTCTCTTTTAAAACATTCATTGGTACTCGACACCAGCAAGTATTTAAAAAAAAAAAAAATCTCATTTTTAATAGAAGAGATTTTAAGACATGATGGTTGGCGGTCAAGATATAAGTCTAGCTGAGCAAGTGCAAGATCTTGTTTAGTGTGGCGCAGAACCCTAAATACAATAACATTGCTTGGATTTTCATCTAATTTGACTAGTTATGTGAGTATATTTCATTTGCTTCAACACCAAATCCATCCCGACCACTCCACTTTCTTCCCCCACCTTCAAGCTGCTTCAAGAAATAAACTGAATAATTTACAGAAAAAATGTATGCTGCAGAATTTAATTTGGGGAAAAATGGTTAAGTGCAAGTTACCGTGCTATACTACGTTAAGGAATTACACACTGTGATTTTAGAATATTCAGTTACTAGTTACACCAGGACTAATCTTTCGGAAAAAGATTAAATTATTTTCAGAGAACAGGGATAATTTGAAGTCCACATTTACAAAAATACATTGAAGCAGATGACACCTCATGAATCACTATCTCTACTGCACTAAAGTTAGTACAATTCATTACAAGGAATCAAAGTATGAATAATCACCAAAGTTTAAATTTTTCAATTTAAATTTACATCACTTCTTTGATTCCCAGTGTCCTCCTTAAACAGATATAATCATAGTCTATCCAAAACTATTATTAGTATACAAAAAGAATGTGAGAGAAATTTAGGGGCTGGAAGCTACAGACCTGTCAATTCACTCTAATATGTCTACTACATCAAGTAGATGTTACTATATCAAAACAGCTAAAAGGAGGTGCTTCTTCAAACAATGCATAGGTAAAATCTTGGTACTACTTACTCCAGGACAGGAAACCAACTGCAAGTCAGGTGACAAATTCACTGTAAGCTATTTACAGTCTATCAGTTCCCACTTGGGGAAGTCTTGAATGGATAACTGCTGATGGCAAAGAGAACACACAATCCAAAACACTACCTCTTTGCCTTGTCCTCATACTCTTATCTACCCATCCTCTACTGGCCACTGTCACGGGAAGGATATTGAACTATATGAATCTTCAGCCAGACAAAGTGATTCTCAGTCTTGCATTCCAGTCTACTGATTGCAGTGGCTAGGATAATTCTAGCTCCAACACATTCCAAGCATATAGAGAAATGTAATAATCAAATACTTATATGCTTTATAAGCAAATATTTAGAGGGTTTCGAACACACTGCAAGTGTGAGTACTCGCTCGCTCTTCTAAATTAAAAACGTTATGTCCAGAGCAGAAGATTGGCATCTCTAATGATCACGAATCTTCTGCTGAGCAAGACCCAAACAAATAAAAAAACCTAAAATGTAGCTTTCCATATTGCAGGTTCATTGCTTTAGTCACTAGCAAGAGAAGGAGTATGAACTTTTAAGTCAAATATCATCTTTTCCAGAATTGCAACATTTAACAGCAACTCTAACAGGTTTGCTTATAGGGAACGAGAAGACGACTCATAAATCTCTTCTTTAGCTATGAGTCAAAGTAACTCATCCATGATTTCTCAATAGTTAAAAATAAAAAATAAAAAAATATCACCATAATATATGCCACACAAGTATTTAATTTGTGAGTCCAGCTTGCTTGTGCGGTGCTCTGATGTCATCCACAGACCTTCCACTGGTTTGATTATACTCTCCTTTACCTCTGAGTTGGTATAAAGACAAGAAAGCCAGTTTGGTTCTCTTAGGCAGACGGATACTTGGGAACTGTTTAAAATAGCTGGTGTTAAAAATTAAGTGGAAGAATCTCACTGAAATAAAGACATTTGCAACATGAAGAAATTGTGACAGTCATGGCATTGTGTGAAAACAGGGGAACCATCTTTCTTTCTCTCATTGGGCTTCAGATACTTCTGTCCACACATCTATATCACATTTCATCAACTTGTTTTTTGTTATTCCCATCATACAGATGACTGGTTCTCAATTACTTCTGCCAATCTCTTGCTTTAATTAAATATTTTCTTCTATTTTTAAACATTAAATGTACAGTTGAAATATATACTTAATGACTTTCTGAATCATTTAATAAGAACTCATTCTCCCTGTAATGACAGATTTTGAGATCCTTTATCTCTACTAGCAAATGAAATTTTTCTCTTCTTGATTTTGCCGATACGTACAAGATAAGGAATTCAAGGCTTCCTTCCTTTCCCTTCTTTACCTATTTTATAATCTTTTAAGATTATTATTAGTTTTCAGATTAGGCCATAAAAGACCTGGCATTTAGCAGGAAAATTATATGTTAAAATTATCTACTTTAAGTAGCCAAATTCCCCATCTTCTGAATCTTTAGGTGATAAAAAAATGCATGAAAATAAAAGGCAGGCATGGTTTAGTTGTTTCAAGTAACTTTCAGATACCTATGTCATGAAACACACTGATTTTAATTAAAATGTTTTCAGCACTATGACACATAAGCTTTATGATTTTCAGCAAAAACCTAGTATGAGGACACATCGTGTTGATGCAGACAAATCCTACTCATTCAAAAAAGAAAAAAAGCACCTCAAATAAGAACATTTAATAAGCATTTACATTTTCCTTATACAATTCATTTCCAAAAGATCTCAAGGAGAAGTAACATCGAGAATTGGTAGAAACACATTTTTGAAAGGCTGATTACCCAAAATGCATATCCTAGGACTATCCATTAAGCTTTGAAAAATGTAAGTAAATGTTGGCAACAGCAGGCCAAGATCAAGCTATTTGGTACTCACTGCAAGATTTCAAATCTTGACACTGGATCAAGACACCAAAATCTTGCACTCGAGCACAATGTTCAAATGAACAAAACCATATTGCCTGAATTTCTGACTATTCTGATTCGCAAGTCAGCCCAATTTCCATACTTAAACTCTGCACCTCCCTCTACTTGTGTTTCCTTGATATGTTCCATTTGCTACACAGGCAACGTTTAGATACAGAAGGTGAAAACATCTAGAGTTGAATCTGATTTAGGACTACTAAAACAGTTCTAAACCAAATCCTTCAGTGAAATTTTAAAAATAATTATTATGACAACTAAAATATAACTTTCTTATTAGTTCATAGATTAGAACTACAATGTTATTATTTTAAGTAAACACCAGAAAAACTTTTTTTATGAAGTACCTTTAGATTTTTTACTGGAGCTTCTTTTGCTTCTTGGACTTCTTTTTCCACCTGGCTGTTTTTCTGTAATAGGCTTTTCCTCAAACTGGGGTTCCATATAGACATTTACAGATCTTCTCTCAGTCTCACTTTCCTTACAGCTTGGGGTACAGTCTCCACTGTCCCTATTCTCATTATTATTGATACTGTCCTGCTCACTCTTATCCTGTCGCCCCATAGCAATGCTGCTACTGGTCAGAACCTCATTACCATCATTGTCAAGTTGATTTTCATTTTCATCAGCTGAAGAAACCAAATGAGATGCCAAACTTTCCACTCTATAGTCAGTAGGAAGACTGTCCTTTGAGTCTATTTGTAGATCTTTTGGCGGAAATTCTCTGACATCCATTAGAGCGTTGCTTGTTGAACCACTTAATCTCCCTCCAAATATTTTTAGACCTAAAATATAAAACCAGAAGAAGCATTTATAATATGTATATTATAATGTATAAATAACCTCATACTTCATGCCAGACAATAAAAAATCACATTAGCCAAGTGATATAGTTTAAAAGTATGGGGAAATTATTTCAAATAATAATCCATTGTCCCATTGTAAGCCTTAAAACAAAGCATATCTACATACAAAAAAACCCCCTATCTATAAACTTGTAATTTTATCCAATTATAAAAGGCTCCAGTTACCTGACCAATAGCACAGCTGATCTTTACTGTAGTGCTCAGTGTTACAGCTGAGGTAACAAGAAAAACAAAAAGACAAACAGAAACCACCCCCACCACTCCCCTTTAAATCCATGGCTAAAACAAAAGCATTCTTGTCACATAAGATCATAGTTTGCCTGGAATAAAAATAAACTAGGGAGGAATAAAAGCAGAAGCATTTTAATTCTGTCAGTGATGGCGTCACATCAAATATGCAGATAGATTAACTCTGTTACAAGAATTAGATGCAAATAGAACCTGTCCCTTTATTTTCCAGAAAACATTCAACGTGTCTTCAGTACACACAGAAGATGATGGTTTGTTAACAAAAAACCCTAATCCCCCACCTACTCTCAGCAGGGGCTGATTTTCCTTTTTGTGTGAACATGTAACTAACCAATGCTACAATCAGATGCACATTCACAGGAAAAAAAGGGTAACTCGTAGCAGCAGAGTTATGTGGTGCTTATAAAGGACTGTTACTGCACCAGTTCCTATCTTTTATCTTTTAGAAGTATGGCCATACTGCTGGTTTAACTTAGCAACCATATAGACGAAATACAGCTCCACTATGTACATCTCATTAGATTTAGCTTGCATTTTGAACAGTGAAGCCAAAAAATCAGCAAGCACTCTTGTATTATGGAAGAGCTTAGGCAAGCCTCCCACAGCAGCTTTCTATCTTTTTCATTAAATGAAAAGGCATTTTAGGAAACCTGTCTTTACCAGGCTTTCTTCAGTCTTATGTCCTGGTATATACAACTGAAATAACTGAAAAACACACTTGCTAAATATGCAAGATAATGTTTCACTTTACTTGCTAGAAGAATTCAAATTGCAGAAAAATGGAAAAAATGCCTTGGGGAATAAGTAGGTTTTCCTTCATACACAGGAACATATTTCTGTTAAAGATCACCACAAAGATTTTCCCAAAATGATTCCTCCCCAACCTTTGTCATTGCTTAAAGGACCGGGAAAAAAGAAAACGTCACTCCAGTCTCAGAGAAGGACAGGAAGGAGGATTCAGGGAGCTACAGGCTGCTCAGCCTCACCTCAGGACCTGGAGGGTGAAATAGTAAGTAATCCTGGAACCCATTTTCAAACATATGAAGGACACAAAGGTCATCAAGACTAGTCAGCGTGGATTTATGATGAGTAAATAGTGCTTAATCAACTTGATAGGCTTCTGCAAAGAGGTGACTGGCTCAGCAGAGGAGGGGAGAACAATGAATGCCGTTTACCTTGACTTTGGTAAGGTTTTTGACACTGTTGCCAATTACATCCCCAGAGACAAGCATACAAAGTACAGGCTAGATAAACAGACAGTGAGGAGTTCCAGAGAAGCATGCAGAGGGCAACAAACTATACCAGCTGGGCAACACAAAAGCAGAAGTCAGCACCAACTAGGACAACTCCATCTCTGCTTCCAACCTGAAGAACTTGTCAACCACTTCCAGCCATACCAGTCCAACAAAAAATACCGCCTATCCTATAACATAAGCTGCACCAGGGGAGGTTTAAACTGGACATTTGGAGGTTTAGACTGGACATTAGGAGGCATTTCTTTACCGAGAGGGTGGTCAAACACTGGAACAGGGTTCCTAGGGAGGCGGTTGATGCCAGTGTTTAATAGACATTTGGACAATGCCCTTAACAGCACGCTTTAACTTTTGGTCAGCCCTGAATTGGTCAGGCAGCTGGACTAGGTGATTGCTGCAGGTCCCTTCCAACTGAAATAGTCTAGTCTAGAAGAATAATGAATTGTACACTAGAGATGCAAGCAGTATTTTCCTTTGCTAACTAAATAAGAGAATTGGCTTTCCTTGAGCACCAGAAAGACAAAGAAGGGAACTTTAGAGGAGACACATATCTGGAGAATGCATCTGTTCATTAGAAGGATGCTCCTTAATCAAGCCCTTTTCTCTCAGTGAGAGTTAAACATGAAAAGAAAGGTTAAAAGAAGGCAGAACTTTAATCAGACCAGCAAGAATCATAACAAGAAGATATTTTTTACAGACACCCACACTATAGTTATGTTGGTCTATCGATAATAACTGTTCTCAAGCATTAAAAAAAAATGTTCCCAAACATCATGTTAAACTCAAAGGTTCAGTTCCTAGTGCTGCCCTCCCAAGCTCAATAGATTAAACGATACATCAAACAAAAGAGGTTGAACTGCCCAAAGCCAATGAGGAATTAGTTTTAACAGCAGTAATGAAAAATCAGGATGTCCTACCGCCACTCTCTTCCTTCTATCAGTAGACAGCAGTTTAGCCTTTCAACAGCTATCATGGGGAAACAGAAATTGGAATGCATCTGAACAAGGTGTTTCCTATTAGACTGTGCAAAATGAGGAAAAGACGCTTTTGACTAGTGACATTTTCTACAGAGGAAGCTAATATTTTGATAGAAAATGTTAACTCATTTCCTTTTGACATGTGGCTAAAACAATAGTCCCTCTCTAGCTGAGAGGCTGGAGAGCTTCTTCAGCTAGCAGAGATCAACATTTCTTGGTTTATAGTTCAAAACTCAATATTTCTCCAAATAAAAGTAGCCCTGAAAATCTGTTCCTTTCTACAACCCTTACGACTCCTTAGAGAATGAAAATCCAAGAAGAGCTAGTTCAAAGAATTTAGAACAGTCTTGGCCTTGATCTTTTAAAAGTATTCCTCCCCCCAAAAACTTTTTTTCCTTCCTGTTTTTCAGTGTTGTTATCTCTGCTCCTTTTGACTTTACTAAGTCACCAGGCAGGTACCAAAGTGAAGCTAAACCTTGTGAGACTGAATTTTAGCTCTGTCTAAAAACACAAGTAGAAACACTACTTATAAACAAAAATTGAATGAAAATCCCTACTGATTTGAACTGTATTTAACAGACCATTAACATGCAGTTACTGTATTTACTGTTTAGCCGTTGAAATTCATTGTACACACAAACAAAATGCTAGGAAAAAAAATGTTTATTTCTTCCTAGGCACATCTTTCCTTCCTTCACTGGTTGCCCAAAACTGAAATAAAAGCTAACACTGAGTAGAACTGTGCTGAGCTCTAAGGTGCCAATGAATGAAAGTGCTTCAGTTCCAGCTGCCACACAGATTCATGCAATTGGCATATATCATCATGGTGATTACAGCACAAATCAAAAATAAGATGGAAAATACTTTCCAAGCAGCTAAAAGACAAAGTCTGTATTGAAGAAATTAGTTGTATGTTTGTTTGCTTTAGGACAAACAGTATGTACATTACAGAAATATCACAGTACTCATATCTATTTTAGGTCAATTTCAATTTTAAACAGCCTGTGCTCTTCAGTGTCCTCTTTCATATACTTCATATAACTTCATGCAATTTCAACAAATTTTTTACTTGCTCATTTTTATGTGTACAGCGCCTTTCTTGCATTTATCCTTACCAGGGAAACATAACCTTAAATACAGTTGTTTGGATTACATTCTGAAAAAAACTGAAGAACTGGTCTCTTCCCTGACCTGGCACAGCCAAAATTTGAAGAGGGCATTAAAAAAAAAACAAAACAAAGCCACAAATACACACACATCCTCCCTCCCCCCCCCAAAACCCCCCCCACCCCCCCCCCCCCCCCCCGTCATACTAACACAGCTCCTCTATCTTAGAAAGCCGGTGGGTTTTGTGAATATTTACTGAATATATAGCATAGTATTTAATTTACTGATCTCAGAAGTATCTTACAGAACAGATGAAGATTGTAACACCGTATCTGCTGGCAAAAGGCTAAAAAGGTTCTAACATTCAAAAAGTTTGTGGCAAATCAATTTTTTATTCTATTTGACTGCCTTCATATAGATCCTCTGACAAAACCACTATTTTCCTCTCTCTCCTTCTCATGTCACTTAATTATTCTATGTTAATTAGGGATATTTAAGTATTTTAATTTTTTTAAAGTCAGTTTCTCCATTACATCACTTATATTGCTCTATTCAAATTGAACGGGCCTTTCAGATTGGTTCCCAGTGTTGCTTCTACTCAATGTTTTCTTTAAATTTAATAATAAAACACAACAACTATATAAAATCTGCAGTTAGAAGCAGTCATAAACATTTTTGAGGATTTAATTCAAAATTAATTGTAGCAATAAGAGCTCCAAAAGGAATAACATGAAATTCACTAAGACAAACAGAACACACCATATCTTTTAGAATAAATGAAGCACATCTGTATGAAATAGGGATTAACCAGTCATTCTGTTCTGATGAAAACCGTCTCAAAGAGACACCAAACAGAAAACTGGCCGTGAGTCCAAGAGTTTTTTTCTCCTGAGATGTAATACAGCAAGTGTTACAGGCACAGGAGAATTCATTATGCCCCACCAGACACTAATCAATTACAGCCATGTATTTCTGTTTTGTGCACAATATACACAACCCAAGACGTACACAAATAAGAGAACCTAGATCAGAGTGAGGTAAGAGTTTTAGAGATGAAGGGACAACACTACACATGGTAACAGTTATCCAGTCTACACAAGGTTGCCGTATAAACAACCAAATGGGCTGTTAGAGATGTTGTGGAATCCCCATCCTTTTAAAGAAGAAATTAAGCATATCTGAGGTTTAAGGACAAGTAAAAAATAGATAGTACCTAGGATTAAGAGAATTTAATTTTCTTTATTGTTGCAGAGGTTTTGTCTTCTTTTTTCTTTTTTTTTTTT